TAGCTACTTCCTAAGTTACAGGTAAACTACTATAAAGAACACAATAACAGTGACAAAGAAAACAAGTTAAATGTCTTGACAATGACTTCAACAAGCTTTAAGTTTACTGTCATTTAAGGCTATCAAAGTAAAAAAATAGTGTCTTATGAGCAAGACTAAGTCTGCTAAATTAAACTGTTGAAGTCTATTCCTTTTATTAAGAATTCCGTACAGCTCAACAAGCAATTAAGTCCACAGGGAAACAGCATTTCAATAGTTGCAGGGCTGTGCCAGATCACGTTTGCGTGGCCTTCATTTTCCAAGAAACAGAGATGTCTCTTTTTACTTAGTCCATCTGCTATAAATGATAATTAGATACCAATGTGACAATCCAAAATTGAAACAAGAGTGCTTTCCCCTCCCACAACCTAACAGGAGATGAGTCCCACAGTCAGTGATCACAAAGAATTTCAAAGTTTGCATAGAAAGTCACCAAATTAAAGAAACAAAGCATTCAAGTGGCCTAATGATTCACATTTAATGAACCACCCAGAACCAACAACACTGTTAAGAGCACCAGCCAGGTAGCATTATTCTAGGTACTTTACACACTTCTCACAGCAACCATGTGAGGTAGTACGAATACTAACCCCATATGGTAGGTGAAGAAATGGAATCAGGACAGTGAAGTAACTAGTGCAAGGCCTCCAATAAGCAGCACAGACACCCTGCCATACAGAGGTAGGCTGTAAACAAAGGCCACATACTCTTTAGCTGTCCCTGTCCCTAATCCCAAGAAAGTGTAACTGATTTTGATCAAAAGCATGTCTCACAATGAAAACACTTGTAATTTATCAGGAAGAGGAAGGTTAACACCTGAGTCTTTGGAACCATATAACTAGTGAAAACAGTTTTGCTTCTGTTAAGGTGTGGTAAGTTTTCATGAAGGGAGTTAAACAGAAACATATCATGAACCAAGGCCAATAGAAAGACGTCTATGGTGCTAACACAACCAAAGTACTAATGTCATCCACACATTAGTTCAGAGAAAACACATAACACAATCTGATTTTCAGCCGCAGAGTAAAAAATCATTAGTCAAACTTTTGTGCTGCATTTCCTGGTCAAATCTGAAAAGTTTCATTATTGACTTCCACATGAAGCTCAGGCAGATTTGACCTGCCTCAGAATTCACCTTGGTGTACATTTTAATATTTATTTATGAATGGGACACCTAACACCATGCTTCTCAGCACAAAACCAGAGGTTGAAACCAAAATATGAAATTTACCACCCTTTTAGTCACAAGATCAGATGATAATATCTTATGTGGCCTGATTCCTTTCCATTGATATCCTTCTATAATTTTGCATTTTCACATCTATACAAACACACTATCACTCTTCTAAATGAAAGGCTGATTTGTGTCACAATGCAAAAATCAAATGGCAGACCTCAGATATGCTGATATTCTTTCACCCTTTTAAAATTTCCAAAAGTGGCAATCATATGACAAGAGCAAATACTGTATCTATTCAAGCCAGTAAGCCATTATTTTTAGTGTTTGAATTGGTTAATGCAAAGCTCTAATCATGTATGACAAATTTTTGCTACTTATAACTTGCATCCCTCAGCCAGTATAAAAAGTTGAAATTTTAGACACCTTGAATTAGATCCCTAATTTGATTAGATTCCAAAAAGTTTCCCTCATCCAGGAGGTTAAGTCCCTGGAGTGGAATGGTAAAAATATATCATCCTATTAAGATGTGACTCTTTAAAGTACACACAATAAGTAAAGATACAAGATGATGGCAACTCAAAGTCCTGCGCCTCAAGACAATTCTAATTTAGTGGGCATGATGAAATCCACACAACAATAACTACATAGCACCAGGCAGTATGTAATGAAGGATTTAAAGTTCAAATTTAGGTCTGCCATATTTTGGTATCCATGCATGTGATTTCTGTGCTACCTATAAATGCACAAAAAGCACCTGAAAACATAAATCTTTCATCCAGCTGTGCACACTGTATGTGGCATGAGGCATAAAAAAGGTGCAAAAAATGGGTATAAATTTCAGAAAATGTTTATTTAAATGTCACAATACAGCTGAATTTTCAAGGTACTACAAGTTTTGATTCAGATGTGATAGAAATAAATTCTAAAATCAATTTAAACTAATTTTCACATCAATAATAATTTCATCACATGGTCTATGATGCAACAGAAAGAAATCAATCACCGGGTTATTATGGGGCCTGCTTCATCTAAAAGCTGCACCGACACCCACTCAACTAGATTACATAGTATTTGCAAAATGTTAATATGGTACATTCACAATGAGAAATACACTCTCCAAAAATTTCAGCTGCATCTTTCATGTATTTGTTCTATTTTATAGCAAATTCTGCACATTATACACACACACACATCTACGCAAAAATTCATGTGACAATTTTCCACAAGAAAGTATGTAGAAATCACTTAGTTACCTCATATGCATTAAGGTGCAAAATTATTAAAAGAGAATATTAAAATTTTAAGAATTATAATTATGTAAATTAAAATTTCAATTTAAAACGCACAACAGATTTACAATACTCTTTTTACCTTTAAAAAAGCGACTATTACTAAAAAAGCTACAATTACAGTATCTATTCCTTGGGCTTCTAAAATGTTTGCACTCTATTCTAAAAGATTCAAATATTTTTAAGTGTCCTATTTCAATAGTCTTGTCTCTCAGCACAAGTCTCTTACCTGTTGTACCACACAACCAATAGTTACTCAGAATGAATACAGAATATGTAACATCACAATCCCATTCTCCAGAAATAAAGTGGAGGGATACAGAAGGAAAATGCAACAAAGTAACATTAATGAAAAGGATATACAGGTCAAGGACATAGGTTGAAAACTCTATAAGAAAGAGCAATAATACAAATAGCTTAGAAAATTATTTTCAGCTGGGACACCACACTAAGGCGAGGAACTAGGCAATACCAAACATTGCAGTGTTGGGGCAGAAAGCAGATAAAGTAGGAACTGAATTGTTAGCAAAAGTGGAAGTTAGGGTTTCACATCCCACCCCCTCCACCTACCCCCCCCCCCCGCCCTACCCCCCCACTTAAATAAAAAAGGGACAGAGAGGACAGCAAATAAGGTCTAGGTGTGATGGCAACCCTGAGACTGAGGGAATATATAAAATCTCACACGCACTATGAAAATCCTGGGTCTCAATACACCTCAAGTGTGGTCCTCCCCTGTATATCCTTTTCTTTCTCACAAAAGAAAAAAAGCTATGAGAAAAGACTAATAAGCACGTTCTCAATCCATTAACCTAAAGATGACAGTAACGGGTTTTTCCTCAGCCTTAAAACGCAATTTTTAGTTTCTCAATGTTTACACTTCCCATCTCTGTTAAAGGAACCTATCCAGCTCTTTGCACACACCTGAACTTCCTTTAACAAGAGACAATGAATCTCAATTCCAATATATTATGCTTGCGTTAAAAACTCTGGTATCAGTCAATCAAGAGCACACAGAAGCAGATCATTACAAGCTTTTGAAAATGATTTTCAGGGCGGAGAGTACAAAGAGAAGGTGCTGGGGATGAGGATGACATCTTTTTGCTTAAACAGAGAAGCCAGACTTAGCATAAAAAGATGGGAACAAACAGAAGCTATAGTTGACATAATTGGTTCTGTGATTTATCAGTTTTACTTTCATCTTTAAACTTCCACTAAACATAAACAGCGTTGTTCTCGCTGTACATAAAAATTGTATTACTCTAGTATGTATACTGTGGCCTTTTCAGTATACCTCAAGAAAACCTCATTTACTGACCTAGAATGGTTATGGAAAGTCTGAAACCATTAAATAGCGATGTGAGGCTTAAAGAGATAGCACAAACCGACAGGCCTTTAACCGGCCCTATCAAATTGAACTATGTTCTAAAAAAGATGAATAGTCCCTTCTCAATCTGAATAAAATACCATTTTCTCAAACTTTCAACGAGCTATCTGATTATTGTTAGCACAGTTGAATCTTCAGTTTACATCTCTCTTTTCCAATTTCCCTGAGAATCTATCACTGCTTTTTCACACAAAAACCACACCAAGCTTGTTGCCTTTTCTTTCTTTACTCGAGCCAATTTTTAGGCACCGTTCTTACCCCTACAAACACAAACCCACAGCCAGTGTCTCTTTGGAACTGCAGGTGACAGATGCAGTCAGCGAGCACACAGCTGTGGATTGGCTGAAGTCTGAGTCTCCTTGCAACCAGCACACTGACAGAGCCCGCAGATGCACATTTCGGCAGAGAAGAGACTTTCACAAACCGTCATTCCCTGGTACATTTACTTTTAGGGTTCTTCCTAGCGATCACTGACCGCTGACCCCCAGCCTTAGCCCTGCCCTGCCCCCTTCCCACAATTCATCCTCCTCAGTTCTTCATCAAATTTAATTATGGTTAATAATAACAACAACAGTACCAATAATGCGGGCTGTTGGCATTGCCAGAACCAGGAACGGGCGAAGCTGCTATTCGGGAGCCTTTCCGGCCGCGGCAGAGAGGCCGCCGAAGTTTTCTGGGGCGCAACGGACCCCGAGCATCTCTGCACCGTCCCTATTCCCTAGGGTGAGGGCTCCGAAGAGACAGAGGGGGACTCTCCCTTCGCCTGTCTTTCCCCGTAGCGGATAACACGAAAAATAAAATACCTCCCTCCTTCCCCCCACACCCCGCTCGATAAAGCGCCCAGGCAGCAAAGCCCCACCCCCACCCCGTTATCCCTAATGAGATCCCCCAATATCACCACGTCCCCCTAGAACTGGATCCTCCTTCGGCCCCCGGGCTAATTCCCCCCACCCGGGCGTCTCCACTCCAGTCATCCGCCCCCGCGCACCCCACCCGAGCCCGGCCCCGGCCCCGCACCCGCCTGCCCAGCCGAGGCGCCCCGCACGCCCCGCACCCGGGCCGCCCCGCCGCCCGCGCGGCCCCCTCCCCGGGCCGACTTCGGGGTTACCGTGGGAAGAGGGGGCGGCGGCAGAGGACGCGGCGGCAGCGCTGCTGCCGGTTGCGTCGGACGCGGAGAATAAGCTGGAGCACAAGGATGATGATGAGGCGGGCGCGCTCCCCAGTCTCCATGGAACTCCCGCCCCGGCCCGTTGCTAGGAGCCCCCGAGGCTCGGGCTCCGTCTTTCGTGCTTTGTTGTTCCGGGTACAAGGCGGCCGCCGCTTCCCCGCGACAATAAATAGAAGAGACGCGGGGGAGCATAGAGACTGAGCGTGGAGGCTAGAGCGCCGCCGGACAGGGCGCCCCTAGGCTCCTCGCTAGCCACTCATTTCCGGCTCTCACTGCTCCCGTCACTTTGCCCCGCCCCTTTCCCCACTTTCCCTTCCTCCTTCCTGGTCCTGCGGTCAGGCCGCCCCTGCCCGCGAGGTGGGCGAGGTGGGCGTGCGGGGGAGGTGGGTGCGTTTGGGCCCTGGGTTTTTTTGTTTTGTTTTGTTTTCCGCTTGAGAACCACTTTAGACGATTTCGACAAAACTGTGAATGCCTTTTACATGTTTCGGTGGTGTTCCAAACAGGAATACTATTTTCTGGAGTGCATTATAATATAAATGGACTTTTTTTTTTTCTCTAACCTTGGCACTTTGTTAGCTCATTCAAGTTATAGAAAAGTCCCACCATTAACATCATTCACAAAGCTAGCCCTTAACTAAATTTTCAAAGGCATTTTCTGATAAAGTCTTCGTTTTTTCAGTGAGAAGAAATGTGTTAATTTACGTTGTCGTGATAAAGCGCTCATTAAAAATTTTAATCCTAGTCCGAAAATAGATGGATGCTGCATGGATGATGAAGGGACAACGCGTGGATGGAGAAGATAGAAGCTAGGCGGACAGAGAGACAGCTGGGTGGAGGAATGGGTGGATGGACAGACAGCAGAGGGCTCAAGTCACACCGCTGTCTTCTGTCCCTCCAATGTTTCTTACTCAACTTGGGTTTGCAGTCGGGACTCTGCCAGGAGGCACTTCAAAGCTTCTGCGCCGGGAAGCCTGATTCTGGAAGAAGTGGGGGTGCCAGGAGAAGAGGCCGAGGGGCGTTTGGGGGAGCTCACCCCAACAGATGGGGACTGAGACCTTCCGCGGCTTTGCGCCCAAATAACCCTGCAATGACCCGGGCCGAGGGCGCGCACTCGCGGGTTTGAACCGCCGCGCCGTGGCCGAGTAAGCCTCGCGGTGGGGGGGGGGGGGCCGCGGGGGTGGCGGGAGACCCCCCCGCTGCGTGCGGGAGCCAGACTCGAGGTAACGGCTCTGGGGTCACAAGGCAACGTGGAAGCCGCGCGGCGCCAGGACACGCACCCCCACCCCCCTAGCCAGACCTGCTCTGGCATCTCCTGAGCTCTCTCTGGCCCTAGATGAGGCCAGTGGGCAGCTTTGAATTAATAGAGCTACCAAGGTGGGCTCCATGGTACCTGGTCTCTGGTATGAATTGTTGATAAAACTATTGCTACCACTTCGCCTTTTTTTTTTTTTGAAGATTTATTTATGCATGCAAGAAATGGGGTACAGGCTAGAGATCCAGGGAGTGAGAGGATTCATGAGAGACAGAGTGGGGAACAGAACAGGCAGATGGACCGAGGCGCGATGCTGAGGGGAGCAGCGGGTAAGCCAGGAGAGGTCTGCTGTGCCATGTGGGTATCTCCCCGAACTCATGCTGCAGAGGCTGCGGATTGCTTCACAGTGCAGTGCCCAACCCCTTGCACCACCAGGGAGGCCACTTCCTTTTGAAAGAGAAGATACAGGTTGAATTGGGGGTTTATGGAGTGGGTCACCATCTGGGTATTTATTTACAGGGTCTCCAAGCATGTATCCTGATTTTTGGCTTCCCATTCTTCTTGTTTAGTAAAATATCTGAACATCAAAAAGCTGTAGAACTGTGGAATTTGCAGTTTTCACTTTCTGTACTAATTTCTCAAGTAAGTGTCATAGTTTGTGTTGAGTGTAATGAAAGTGAACAAGAGGCTATGTTGGAAAGGAATATCTGTGTGGTAGTAGGCCCAGATTTTTAGGGGTTAACATGTCAGCTGGTATTTAAAAAAGATAGGCCTAGAAGATATTTGCCCGTGTTCCAGGCAGAGGGAACAAGATATGCTAAGAGTATTCTGTGCCAAAATATTAGTATAATGGGGCATCCAGATCAGAGCAAGGGAAAGAGGGACATGAGATGAAATTGGAAAAAAGTTAAAACCTTTAGCCTTCAGTGTCTTGTAGACCATAGAAGAGCTTTAGATTTTCTTTCAAATATAGGGGACTGAATATTTGTAGGGTAGAGTAACATGGTCTGATTTACCAAGGGAATGGCCCAGGAAATGCTCTGCTCCTGAGTACTACAACTGATAAAAAGTCAATTTTGTGGCAACAGTGAGCAAATTCTAAGGCATTTATGAGGCACCTTCCTTTCAGGGGCCTAACAAGATACTGGTTATTAAGCTTGTCAATTACTTTGGGTTCTATTTTGTCATAGATGATGAACAATTTGACTCATTACAATAGCTCCCCATTCTGAAAATGGATTTGATTGTGCTGCAAGCACCTTTCTTTATAGACTCATTGAAGCTTTATACACTATCTCTTCAACCCATGCGCCATTCCAAATAATTCATTTGAGTACAAAAAAGAATGATATCAACCCTGTGGGTTTCACTGGTCTTATAATATATTCCATTAATTCAGGTGCCAGGTAAGTTTGAATATAAGGTATCTATTCTAAGCCAAGACTCTGGATTAATACAGAAATTAATACCTGCAACTAGGGAATTGAATTGTCTGGCCATAAAGAGTAGAACTGGTTATGTCAAGGTGGGATGAGGACAAGAAGGAGGGAGTTGGTCAGGGAGTTGGTGAACTTAATCAGTTAGAGCAGTGCTCTTGAAATGTGATGTACAGACCAAAGCCAGACTGGAAAATGTACTGATCAGAAATAAAATAGGAGTAGGAATTGAGAGGAGGACTTTGAAGCTTTTCACAATTTGACAATACTGTGACATATAAGTAAGTGTCCAATTTTGTATTTATGAAAACATTTGTGATGAGGTGGTAAATAAAAACAAACAAAAATGGATTCTACACCATAGATGGCTTGAGACACTGGTATAATATTTGTTACACCCATGAAGACTCTAGCTTTATGAACCTGGTTTAAAAATATCAGGCCACTGGAATATATTGGCTAGAAGTAGTTCTTATATCCCTTAGTGATCTGAAAGAGACAGGCTGTGTTCAGCATAGACTTTCTCTAAGAGACAAGTCATAGGTGGGTGATAATTATATAACATTGTTAAGAGGAATCATTTCTGCCAGTGGTTTAGTTAAACTATACTGATAAGGATCAGATAATACCTATTCTGCCAGTTGAAACAACTAAATCTTCAGCCTCATAGGTAAGACACTATTTAGAAATGAAGAGACCCAGGGGAATCAGGGGTAGCTCATTCTTCTCAACTTTTCCTATATATCTTCTGCTGTGCTCCTTTGAAAAAGGTAATTGAAAAATTGAAAAAGTTAATTTCATTATGCTAGTTGAGTGGTGAACAGCTTAGGAGAATCTGGTGCTGTAACCTGGTTTTATGACCCCAGCAAGTTCCCTCCCCCAACCTTCAGATAGTCTATGGCAAAGGTATTGAACTAAGAATTAGGGAGATGACAGTTACTAGGCCGTTTCCAAGAGCTAGAAACAGGAAGGGCAGAGTCCATGTTCAAACCTTGTGTCTCAATGATATTATAACAAGCTAATGGATTTCCCCCAAATGACATTGACTGACAGTCAAGTAAATTTTAAAGTTTTGTGAGAAAGTCCTCAACCTGGAAAAAAGCATCTACTACTGTGCTGTCTCAAAGACAATTACCTGGTTCCCATCCTATAGAAAGATGAATCTGGGTGTCAAGTCAATCCCACAAGGTGTCTTCTCACTATCCCTCTAAAGACAGGGATTTTGGGGATAATGGACAAAGGAAAACTTGACAATTTGTTGGCTGATCAATGATTTCAATTTCTGTACTGAAGCAAAAAGGTCCTTATGCTTATTACTGTTGCCTAACAGGAAATGGTATACACACCTACATCCATACTTTACATCTCTGATTTGCCCTTTCTGTTAGTTTTTGTTGTTTTGTTATACCCCCTCATCCTTTATTGTATATCTGTGGATTGGGAATAAATTAATACGTTATTCATCTTTTAGCCACATCTGAACCTGATTAAAATTGACTACACTCAAAGATCATGAATTTGAAGCTGATTTCAGTGGCTGGACATGACTTTGAGTTTTCTTCTTTCACTTGGTAGAAATTAAGTATATATTCTATTGCATATAGGATAATTACTGGAAGGACAACTATAGCTATGGTGAAGTCTCTCTCTCTCTCTCTCTCTCTCTCTCTCTCTCTGTGTGTGTGTGTGTGTGTGTGTGTGTATGTGTGAGGGTGAGGGTGGGGAGCATGTGGGTGTGTGCATGCACTGAGCAACCAAATGATGTAAGGAACATTTACTGTTTTGTTAGACTAGAACTTCTCTCTTCTTTTGGGAAGTGTACTCTTCTTTCTACTCCTTGTCTCTGTCTAATCAAATGGGAGCTATAATAGCCACAGAGGTTGAAGAAAGATGGGCTTCTGAGCTAAACTGGCTAATTTCCTCTACTGAAATTAATTTATTGTTCCCTGTTCCAAATTCACTCTTTGTGCCTGCTCTATGAAGATGGATCTGGGCCCTTTAAATGTTTTTCTTTTGCTATTGCTAAAGTATGTCAGTAGAAAGTGCTAGAGAAACATTGTAGTAGGAAAGATTTTTACTTCCCAATTTCAGTGTGCAACCCCTAGCAGGCTCCTGAAGCATGGACAGCTTTCTAGAATCTACCTTCTACAGCACAGGTGGCTTCCCCAGCCCCACTCAGGGGTCTGAAGGACAAGCAGTGGTAAATCTTCTAAGGGGACAGAGCAAAATGGGAAGTTGCCAATGGTTTTGATAAGTGGACAGGGCCTTACATCAGAAGACTGGTGGTGGGCCTCCCCTGGTGGTGCAGCGGGTTGATCGCAGTGCTGTGAAGCTGTCAGCAGCTTCTGCAGCGAGGGTTCGATTCCTGGCCAACCAGGGAGATTCCCACATGGTGTGGCAGACCTCTCCTGTTGTGTCTGCTGCTCCTCTCAGCAGTGCTTTCAGTCTTCTGCCTGTTCTGCTCCCTACTGTCTCTGGTAAATCCTCTCACCCTTCCACGCCTCTGGCCTGTGCCCAGCTCTTGTATAAAAATAAATAAATCTTAAAAAAGAAAAGAAGAAGAAGACTGGTGGTGAAGTGTGGGGAAGAGGTGTGTGAATTGCCTCCTGTGAATGGGCACAAACTATGATGATATTTGTGTCCTATTGAATGCACACTGAAAGTATCCACTGAAGTGAAGAATTTGCAGGTGAAATGGCATAGACCCATAGACTCTGGGTATCAGCCAACCACTGTTCCCAACCAGTACTTTCTCAATGAGCCTATAAGTTCAGTGGGCCTATAAGTGGTTGTAGTGATACAGGCAAAGCGTGCACTTAACCTGGATTTCCCCTCACCATGGCACACATCTGCTGACATTACTACCAAATGCCTAATTTGTCAACAGCAGAGAACAATATTGAACCCCTGATGCGGCCCCACTCCCCAGGGTAAGATTTATTTATTTATTTATTTATACAAGCACTGGGTACAGCCAGAAGCGCGGGAGAGTGAGAGAATTCACCAGAGCGAGAGTGGGGAACACAACAGACAGAATGACGAAGTACACTGCTGAGGGGAGCAGCGGGCGGCAGGAGAGGTCTGCACGCCATGCGGGACCCTCCTCCAGTGGCCGGGGAGCAGCCGGGGATCGAACCGGTGCTGCAGAGGCTGCGGGCAGCTTCGCATCCCAGCGCTCAACCACTGTGTCACCAGGGGAGGCCCTACTCATAATATTTCTGAGGGGACAGTCTGTGAACTCAAAGAAATGCTTTATCTACCATCAGTGCATCCTGCACAACACTGCCTCTGGTCAGGGAACTCATTTCACAGTTATAGCAAATATAGTGATTATCCATGGCTATGGAATTAACTGATATACCACATACACCACACTTGGAAGCAGATGACTTCACTGAACAGTGAAATGACCTAGTGAAGACTCAATTATGACCTAGTTGGGAAGCAATACCAGGGAAAAATGGGGTTCTGTCTTATGGGATATGTTTTGAAACATAGGCTATTATACATTACTCTATCTTCTGTGACCAGAATATATCTGAATCAAAGTATGAGAGTGTGAGTGGCTCTTCTCACTTTTTCACCCTAGTAACTGCTGTCAGAATTTTCTGCTCTTACCTGAAAACTTTGCTGCTGGTTTGAAGACCTTAGTTCCCAAGGAGAATGCTTTCTTTAGGAGATGCAACAATGGTTCCATTATATTGGAAAGTGAGACAGCCAACTGATCATTTTGGATTCCTTATCTCCCTGAAACAAAAAGCAAAATTAGGCGGGGGCGGTAATCTACTTGCTGAAGTGATTGATCCTCATTACCAAGGGGAAATTGACTTGCTTCTGCATGATGGAACCAGGAGTAATAGTATGGAACAAAGAGGTTCTCTTAGTCCTTTCATGTCATTATAGCAACAGAAATAAAATGTAGAGTGCTTGAGGTCTCAGATCCTTTGGAAAATGAAGATTTGGGTCACTCCAACAAGTGAAGAATCCCAACCAGCTGAGGTTCTGACTTAAGGCAGGAGAAATACAGAGTAGGTAGAGGAAAACAGAAGCCATAGATATAAAATACAGCCTTGTGAACAGTTACACAAATAAGGACTGTAGTATCTTTGCATATTTTCTATTGTTTATTATCTGTATATGTTTATTTGTATCCACTAACATTTTCTTCTTTTCTCTCCTTTCCATATTTATCTTATATTCAGGTAGTCAGAGTTGTATCCTAGAACTTCTGTAACAAAGTACACAACTTGTTTCACAACAATGGCAATTTATTCTTTCATGGTTCTGGAGGCCAGAATTTAGAAAACGATGTTGGCAGATTTGGTTTCTCTGAGAGGCTTTATGGAGAGAATGTGTTCCATATCTTCTCCCTGTTTCTACTGGCTGCCTCGAATCCTTGGCACTAAATCTCTGCCTCCATCTTGATGTCATCTGCTCCTCTGTGGGTCCTGTTTCAAATGTCCCTCTTCTTCCTCTTTAGGATACCAGTCATTGGACTTAGGGCCCACTCTAAATCCAGGATGATCTCATCTCAAGATTCTTAATTTCATTACATCAGCAAAGACTATTTCCAGGTAAGGTCACATTCACAGATTTCTGGGGGGTTAGGACTTGAACATATAGTTTTGTGACCACAGTGTAACTCAATCACTACAGAAGTTAGCTTTACAATTAGAATTTAGAAAACAGGAACACTGACTGAAACAGTGGAACACTGACTGAATTTGAGGATTAGCATAGCCAGTAATAGACACAAGGACTCCTAGGACTCTGTATCTCCTTATTTTGGGGAAAGGTGAGATGTCACTTGTAGAAGGATACAGTATCATGTTTCATGAAATACAGAGTTGTTTTGTTGTAGGAAGGCGCATATAGGCATTGAGTAGTAAGGTAGCTTTCTGTAGTGCCCAGGGCTCCTACAATGTGAGCAGATTCTCTATTGTCTGCTTCTTGCAACTCCTGCAGGCCCCCTCCTACCTCCTCCCTGTCACATGGTTTTGTAAGAAAGCCTCCCCATTGAGACACCCCACCTGTGAATTGCTTTCTCCAACATGTGGAGAATGGATTTTCAGTGAATTCTGTCTGAAGCATCATAGCAACTTCTCTGTCACACAGTGAGTCAGAGCCGTGTCCCCTGCAACAAGGCCTGCTGCTCAGCCATGGTGGGGGCTCTTTCTTGGGTGTCCCGTTTCAGCCCTACAGCATCGTGCCTACTCCTTATTTGTATGTTTCCTATGTTTATTAGGGTTTTCTTTATTTCTTACTAGCCAGTCCCCCAATTTTCCAATTCCCTATAATAATTAAAAATTCTTCACATTATGCCATCTCTGTTCAAACTGCCATATAGTTTATGGCTCCCTATTGGACTCACTATCCCATTTCTTTGGATACTGTGATTGGCTGGAGACAGGTTGTGACCATGCCAAGCCAGAGGGTGTCCCACTCCAGGATTCATTGAGGTGCAGTTGAGGAAAATTCCTTTTCTTATGGTATAACCAGGAGAATGTGGATTGAGGGCAACAAGTTCACATATCCTCATGAGGAAGAAGATAAAACAAAGCTGACAGGGAAAGAGAAGTAGAGCAGAGGGAGTTAAAAAGAGAAGCAAGTAAATAAGTGGAAGGTGGAAATTTACCTCTTCGGAAAGGATAAACAATAACTGGTATTGAGGCAGTTGGTTAACCTTAACCTTAAGGTTAACTAACCTTAACTCCCTTCTGGAGGAGTTCTTTATGACATCTGTTAAATAAATCATTTTCAAAGATCCTCAGGTCCATTAGGTTTTATCATAAAATCTCTATCCATATTCAATATGTGACCTCTTTTCTAATACACTAATATGTTTTCTTTGAAAAGTGAACAGTAGTGTCTTGAAAAGTTTGTATTTAAAGAAAAAATTAAATCTAAAAACTGAAAATGATTACAGAAAAATGTTAACCATTAAAAACTAATGGCTATAATCATATCAGCAAAATGAAGTAAAAATTAATAGATATATGATGAGAAACTCAGAGTATGTACACCAATAAATCTCTCTGAATTATTGATGGAACACATAAAAATTAGTAGAGCTATAGAAGCTATAACTAACAAAACATCTTGTTATATGCTTTAAGGAAGAAAGTCTGAAAATTCATGAACTAAAGTATTCATGAGTATTCATTAAATTAGAGAAAGAGGGCTTCCCTGGTGGCCTAGGGGCTAAGTCTCAGCACTATGACCTCTGAGGCATAAGTCTGATCCCAGCCCTGGGGGCTAATCCACAGATGGCATACAGACCTCTCCTGTCTCACCCGCTGCTCCCCTCAGCAATGTTTTTGGTCCTTCTGCCTGTTCTGCTCCCTATTCTGTCTCTGGGGAATCCTCTCACCCCCCACACCTCTGACATGTACCCTAGTTCTTGTATGCATAAATAAAAGAGTCTTTAAAAAAAAAAACCACCAAAACCCCTTTCCATGGCAAGTGTTATTGAATTAAGATGTGGTATCTGTCTTATATAAAAGTATGACCCCCCTCAGATGGGTCAAATCTGTGAGCCAACATGATAGAATTTCTATCCTGAGCAATGCTGCAGAAGACACTTCAAATTCTTCTTTATCTCCCCATGCAGACTGTCATCTTACTGTGAACTCTTTTTTTCTTTGAGGAGTTAAAGTTATTGGTCAGGTGTTGGTGCCCCCACCTTGAAACCATACCTTGACTGGATTTGTGATGATTTTGTGTTTCTCCTCTTCTGTTAGTTTCTTAGGACTCAATTCATTCTAGTTTTCCTCTGAGATACAGTTTCATATGTGAGGATTGATTTTAGCACATTTTCTAGGTCTGCAAACTAAACATATGTAACCCGTATTTTCTAGCTCATTCTTTCATCACAATCTTCCTTAATTTCCTTTGCCCCAAGAACCTCAAACTTTCAAAGAGGTTTGCAGAGTTTCTTGCCTTTGTATCTTCCATTTGGAAAATTAGCATCTTTACCACTCACATTTCCACCCCCCTTCCTACTCTTTGTCTTGTGCTTGTTCTGCTTGCTCCTGAAGGCTTTCTCCCAGCATTCTCTTCTCACCATTGTAGTAGACAGGTTCTGTGTTAATTTAGCTGTGGAGTGGGAAGGGACTTTGGAGATCCATTCAGTTTTATAAATAAGAAAAGAAAGCTCACACTATTTTTCCTACTAGTTTCCTCCGGAGCATGGTTCTGCATCAGTTGTTTCCTTTCTGAACTCCACTACCCATTCAGTAAATAGGTTCGCTGCCTGTGACAACACATTAAAAGGAAACGAGAAACAAGACTGCCACCGTGTGGTGTGAAGCTTGGATAGACAGGAAGGCTTTATACCCAGCAGTGGGAAAATTGTGCAAGGTCGGTTTCCCTTAATAATAACAGTAACCGCAACTTTCACCATTGTTGCTACGATCAATTTAGTACAGTGTTGTGGAATCCTGTTGAATCTATATCAGGAACTCCCAGCACAGCCATTAGATCTAGCTGTGGAACTGCCTGAAGTCCCAGGAATATATCGTTGATAGATGTCCACGGATTGAGAGAGATAGATAAGGCTCTTAGGGATGTGTGCATGTTCTTAAAATAGGCTTATATATGCATGCATTTATTTTAGTAAAACCAAACTAAGTAAAATAATGTATTACAGTGTATTATATTCTTAAAATTCTCTTTTCCTGTCCTTTTTCACAGGCAGATACTTTTAGCATGAAAAGCATATTGTGTCAATGAGATAATTTAAATAAGATTTAGTAAATGCTAAATGAAGCAAATATTTAAATGTTAAATTTTAATGTAAAGTTGTTTAAGTAGTTACGTAAGTTTTGCTCTAGTTACAGAGCCACAGAAATGTGTGTTGGAGTCTATTTTTAGTTAAACGTGAAGTGGAGGCGCAAGGGATTTCCTGCTCGAATTATATAGAGGTCAACTCCGTGGATGTGATGCTTCTAGCAAACAGGTGTAGGGCAAGAAGCAAGGCAATAAAAATAAATTCGCCAAAAATTACTGTATAGTTGATATTCTTATTCTACATAACTGCAAATTTCTCATCCAAGTACTCATGGGCCTGCCCTACTTCACCTGGAATTGTTGAGAATGGTCAATGGATCCCAAATTAGCAACTCTGCCCCTAGTGGCCTTAAAGGGTAAGACAAGGGTTGCTCCCCGTAAAACTGCTTGACGTTCTTACCGCCATTCATTGGAAGCAGCTGAAAAATATATTATCAGCATTTTATATTTTTAAAACTTAATAATCTAGACTATTTGAGATAAACTGAAAATATAAAACAGAGGGCTGACTGGATGGGCACTGGCCTCATGGTGTAGTCAAGAACTTGAGCTCTGGAGTTAGACATATTTGGATTCAAATCCCAGGTGGTGACTTTTGTTAAGAGATTTGATCCCTCCAGTCTTCAGTTTCCTCATCTGAAAAATGGGCTAGTACTGCCCAGCCACTGGATTACACAGGAAAATTTCCGCTCGCTGCATAGCAGTGCTTAGCGATCACTCGGTGCTGGGACACAGACCGGTGGAATCACCCGGCAGCAAAGATTTGTGCATGCGCTGAGTGTGCTTACAATGACGCTATGAAATGTCATAAAGAAAAGCCTACTTTCTATTGTATTTTTATGCACCCATGGAAACAGTATGTCATTTAAAAGTAACAGATGCTGCTAGTGGGTTTCTGAAAAGCATCTCAATGATGTCTCCATTGAAGCCCCAGGTGTTTGCCTGGAGCTTGGAATTTCTTAGTTCAGCACCCAAAAAAAATTGGTCGCCTGGTGATAAATTCAGGCTGAACTGGTGAACAAAGTACCGATTTTCTAGTTAGATGATCCCAGGTGATATTTTCAGGACTTTCTCTTACTAGCTGTATGTCCTTGAGCTTCAGTTTCCTCATATGTTAACATAAAAATAGGAACATGCACTTACATACTGCTTAGTGTATAGTAGAGTGATTACATTATCCTAATTATGGACATAATGCCAATAAGCACCTATTCTGGAGCAAATCTCAACACATCTATTTTGCTCTGTTGAGAATATTTGATGATAATGATGGTGGTCTCAGAAACCCCAGGATTAGGTACCTGGGAAGTTGATTTACAGATCCATTGTGTCTGAAGAATAGAAAAATAAAAATACAGGGAGAGGGTGGTTTTGACAGCATTCCAGTCATCAATTTATTGCTTCTCTGCTCCAAATCCAACCTATTGCCTGCTCAACTCTAAATCCACTGTTCTTTCTGGAGCTGTATTTTATAAGCCATCTTTTGCAGATGGCAGATGCTCAACTTTGTCAGTAGAGGGCACAGGAGGGACACTGCAAGAGGAAGGGGCTCCCTCCTGATTCACCTATAGTAGTGCTACCAGCAGCCCAGGTTATTGCTGCTGGAGAGACAGCCAGCAGTGTTTGATGGTCAACAGAACACACCACCTCCCCAGCACCTCTTCTGGAGATTATTTCCAGGGTGAGGCACCTCCTTTGGAGGCTTTCCTGTGTAGGATTCCCAGAGAATAAATTCCTAGTATGTCTCAGCCATGGTTCCCAGTTTACCAGGCTCTGCTCACTGTACTCCAAAACAGGTGTTCTCTGCATGCTGGTCCCAGTTGAAATTGCTCGCTTGCCAGGCCTCTGCTCAGACCAGCTGTGAGCCAGCCCTGTTATAGAACAATCAGGGATTTTTTCTGTCCAGTGTCCTTTCTGAAAAAGCCTAAGTCCTAGCCTTGGAAAGAGGAACTTTTCCAAATTTTTTCCCCCCAGGAAGAGACTCCTTCAGCCCCAGGCATTTCCCTTTCTAGCTATTCCGCTGTAGTTAATAACATTTTAAATTAAACTTTCCTTATTCAAATTATTATATGAATTCTATCCTCTGATTGGATACTGACTACACAGTTGGATCCTTCATTTTTCCTCTGTGAAAACCTAATCAACTATATTCTAGCATAAATTTTGTGACCAAATTTCCTTTAGCTCACATCTTCCTGGGACAATCATGTCCCTTTTGTCAGACCATCTGTGGCTCACATATATAAATTCCACTAACTATCGAATCAATATAAATGGCAGTCTGACATGTTAGTAGTTAGTCCGATATGTAATGGTTATTAGCCTGTTTGACTAGACTGATTTGCACCATCCTCTTTACAACTCTGGCTAACACCACCCAGCTGAGATGAGGAGAAAAGCACCATGGAAGACGTGGCACCGAGTTGGACTTAGAAGGATAGAATTTTACCAAATGAAAATGCAGCCAATATGGTGGAAATATGTTAGGTATAATGAAAATGTGCACAGGGAAGCAAGACTGTTTCCCTGGAATGAACATGTTGGCTAAGGAAGAAGTGGAAATAGAATTGGAAGGAAGGTAGAAGTCAGATCATGAAAGATCTTGAATGCTAGAGAAAGGAACATGAAGAGATGCCATGTATTGACTAGGTAGAATTTGGCAAGGTAGAATAAATTAAATTGGAATGGGATCTAAAACCTAATCAAAGATACTGAGAAAACTATTATAGTAACCAAAATATGGGGCAATCTGGGCCTATAACATACAATGGCCAAGTATGGGATATAAAGGAGGGAATATATGTGTAAAAACTATGTAAAGGAAGACTAGTAGATACTGAATGGTGGATATAAGAGAAGAAATCCTCATAATGTAGGAGACCAGTTTGTGTGTGTGGCATAGAAACAGGGATCAAGGGGGATATTTGATGTTGGATTTTCCAACCCAGCTGGGATATGCTGTGAGGAATGAAAAATCCTGATAATAAATGTAACTGGTGTGCTCATGTCATCCAGTCACTATTTACCTGTTATTATCCATTCTTTTATTGCCTCTTTAAAAAGTGTTCATTGGGGGAAGTTTCTTATTCCCTAGAATGAAAACTTGGCAAGACCTAAAGCTTTTGTGTTAATTCTCAGTAGTTAGTTCACAAGGTCACAGAGTCTCAACTAAGTAATTAGAATGGCCAACCCAAGATATTAACAGAAAAGCTGGACTATATTCTGTGTTCAACCTCAACCAGCCATCACAGGCCTACCTGAGGCTAGAAGTGGAAATGGGGCACATACTTTACCTTATCTGTTTCATTTCCCTTTTTTCTTTCCTTGATTCTTATCCCTGCCAATATCTGACCCCCAAACATTGAAACCGGAAGGAGTCCAGAGACTCATAAAGGGAAAGGAAAGAACTTTCAATTACAGAGTATCATTATAGTCCAAGCTCAGTGCTTGGGGACTGGCAGGTTCTACAGCCAACCTTTCTTTCTTTCTTTCTTTTTTTTTTTTAAAGATTTATTTATTCATGCATAAAGAACTGGTGTACAGGCCAGAATTGCGGGGGGTGAGAGGGTTCACCAGAGACAAGGTGTGGAACAGAACAGGCAGACTGGCTGAAATACACTGCTGAGGGGAGTAGCAGGTGAGACAGAAGAGGTCTGCCGCTCCATGTGGGATTCTCACCGGCAGGCCAGGATCGAACCTGCATGCTGCAGAGGCTGCAGACAGCTTCATAGCGCTGTGCTCAACCACCTGTACCACCAGGGAGGCCCTACAGCCAACCTTTCTCCTGTAGGCAATGTCCCTTGTGCCAGGGAGATGAGTTTCCATTTCAGGTGGCTGCTTGATGCTTCATCCATGGACTTGAGCTTAATGCTCACATCCCTTTACCTCTCCAGTGACTTCATGCTTGTGCGAGACAAGCTACTATGCTAAACCCCAGTTCCCAGTGCTGGCTCTGCCACAGAGGAAGTTAACCTCTATGGCTTCAGAGGAGCCAACCCTCCCCCAACCTACCACCGCAGAAAGAACACCTGAAGCACTGAGCAAATTTAGGGAAACTCCAATCAGTAGGAGAGCAAGTTCCTCCTTCCCTCCTTGGGATTGGGGTAGGATATACCTCGCAGCTCAGTCCCTTATCACCCACAATACTTCCTTCTGTAGATGTTCCTTCCACAAAACTCTCCATCCTCTACCCATTTCCTGTCTCTGATATTCTTGGTTTGGTTAAAGGATTCAAGAGTCAGGAAACCAATTTTTCTGGATCATTTTCTTTTGTAAGTTCTTCATAAGGAGCTCTGTCATGAATCTTAACATCTGCTATGTCTCACGGGCCACTTCAATTTGAACAGTCTCTTACACAAGATGAATCCTACTGGTATTTGTTTTTTCTGAAATTTTTTTATAAAGAATCAAGTCAATGATCATTTGTATCAATTTATTTTAATAGATGCTAACTATGTTTATATACTAAAATTGCATATATATTTTTTCACTCTCATTTTAAAGGACATTTTGAGACAGCTTTCATAGATTTGTTTCCAATCACTGCTGGAACAAATTGCCACAAAATCAGTGGCTTAAAAAACAGCATGCATTTATTATTTGATGGTTTGGGGGGTCCGACATTTGAAATTCTTGTCACTGGGCTAAAATCAAGGTGTCAGCAGGACTGTATAACTTCTGGCAGCTCTAGGGAAGAATCTGTTTACTATTGTTGCCAACTTCTAAAGGTTACCAGCATTTTGGCTCCCGGCTACTCTTTATCTTCAAAACCAGACATGGCAGTGGAGTTTTTCTCCTGTACCCTCACTCTGGGACTGACACTTCTGTCTCCCTATTCCCCATTTAAACAATTCATATGCCTGCATTGGGCTTACAGGGAAATCTCAGATCACTTCCCTCTCTTAAAGTCAGTTGCTATTGATTGGCAAGATTAATTCTACCTGCAGCCTTAATTCTCTTTTGGCATGATTATCAGTCCAGGTTGAGCCAGAGAAGCAGAACCAGTAGGAGATATATACTGAGATATTTATTGCAAGGATTTGTTTTATGCGATTGAGGGGACTGGCTAGAAAAGTCTAAATATGTAGAGCACGTCATCAGGAAGGGCAGAGAGAGCTTTTGGGCATAGACTGAAATTGCTATCTACAGGTGGGATTACTTTTTCTTTGAGAAAGTTTCAGCTCTGTTTTTAAGATTTTTAATTGATTGAAATATTCAAATTCTCTAGGACAATCACCTTTACTTATGCACAATTTTAACTGATTATGTACTTTTAAATATCATATGATTTCACTCTTACAGGGGAGATAAAGAATCAAAGCAACCAAACAAACAAGCAAAAAAAAAAAAAAACCCATTCAATTCTGACAACAGAATTATGGTTACCAGAGGGGAAAGCAGGATAGGGGAATCAGTGGAATGGGTAGAGGGTATTGATTGGATGGAGATGGAGTAATTAGACCTGTGGTGGTGGATGTAGTGTGGTATCTACAGCTGTTAAGGTGTGAAGCTGTATAACTGAAACATAGTGTTGTAAACCCATGACACCTCATAAAAACAAACAAAAAAACCAGAAAACAAAAATCCAGGGACGATAGCTTAGCTACCCTGATGTGTCAACTAGACCATTATAGTCTATCTTTTGTCAACTTTGCATCCATCAGACCTCCATAAACCAAACTTAACCTCCCAATGAAGACAATGATAAAGTCATACTTCCACTTGACATCATGCATCCTGTGTACAAACAGAAACACAATAACACTTTCTTTAGGAGAAGATGCAGAGTTCATGGGTGACATTTCCTCTTCTGTTTGATATACTGTAACTTGAGTACAGGATATAAAGTTAACTGTTATCAGTATATCATATGTTAGATGATAAGGGGATAAGAGAAGAAAACAAAAATAATTGCTTAAAGCACATACAAACAGACTTGTGACAAAATGAGGAAGAAATACTCATAACTACTATTGCTCTAACTTCTGCAGCTGAGTGCAGGGCCATAGCTGGTATTCATAGATAACTTCATCTCCTACATATTCCATATTCCCTTTGTCCTCAGCAGACACCTCAGCTGGTCATGGCTCTTTGATTGGTGGGGTGACTCAAGTCTTCATTCTGGAAGAGCCGAGTATGATAGTAGCCCTGCATGAACTAGATTGTTCTAATTTCCATTTACTCAATTACAAAGCACAATGGCTAATATTAACATGTCAACTTGACTGAGTCATAGGGTGCCCAGATATTTAGCTAACCATTATTTCTTAGTATGTTCATGATAGTATTTCCATATGATGCTAGGATCTGAATGGGTTGATTCAGTAAAGCAGATCTTTCCCCAGTGTGCTGGACATCACCCAACCCCCTTGAAGGTCTGAATAGAACAGTGCAGCAGGGCAAGAGAGAACTCATTTTTTTCCTGATTGATTGAACTGAAACACAGGTCTTCTGTTACCCTTAGATTAGGATTTATACCAGTAGTTCTCCCAGGTCTCAGGTTTTTGGACTCAGACTGAAAGTACACCATTCCACCTTGCAGATGGAGATTGTGGAACGTCTTAGCTTCCAAAATTGAATGAGTCAATTGTTCACAACAAATCAATTACTGTATGTGAAATCATCTGAAATCATGCATGTATGTATATATAAATCATATCCACAGATCAGATTATGTAATATATATAAATCAAAACACAATCACTAGGGCCTCCCCAGTGGCGCAGTGGTTGAGCGCTGGGTTGCGAAGCTGCCCGCAGCCTCTGCAGCACCGGTTCGATTCCCGGCTGCTCCCCGGCCACCGGAGGAGGGTCCCACAAGCTCGCAGACCTCACCTGCCACCCGCTACTCCTCCCAGCATTGTACTTCGGTCCTTCTGCCGGCTCTGCTCCCCGCTCTGGCTCTGGTGAATTCTCTCGCCCTCCTGTGCTTCTGACTGTACCCAGTGCTTGTATAAATAAATGAAAAGAAAAATCTTTAAAAAGAAAAACAAAAAAGCACAATCACTATATGAAAATCATATACATCCTATTGATTCTGTTTCTCTGGAGAACCCTACCACATAGGCCCAATAGCACATTCGACCATCATTATTCAGATTTTTTTATCTGTAAATATATAAGTACTTTAAACTTTATTTATAACCCCAAAATTAAATACTTTCAAGCTTTTGTGATCATTCATGATTATGCACAGAGTTGAGAAAATTTTGAATGGGCCTCTGTACGTGTTTCTAGGTCAGGTTACAAACTAGGTTCCCCAGCCCTTGCTTCAACTCTTTTACTGGCATAACTGGAGGAGGCAGCCAGTAGAGGGTAGTACAGCGCAGTGCAAGACGTTCCAGGGCTGGGGTCAGTTGGACAAAGTTTGAATCCCAACTCTAGCGCCTCCTAATAGGGCAGTCTCAGGCAAGTCACTTAATGCTTCTGAACCTCATTTTCCATGCAAGAGAAATCAAAACATTTTCAAACAAGGACATGTATGTGAATGCACTTAATAGCACTATAGTAACTTAATAGCACTATAGTAACTTCAAACTAGAAACATCCTAAATATGTACCATTTGGTGAATGAATAAACAAAATGTGATATACATGCAAATTGAACAATAAAAATGAACAAGCTGCTCATACTTCTATCGACATAGGTGATTTGCAGTGAATATCTAGATAAATCAAAGCAGTCGTAAAAGACTGCATGTTGTATGGTCTGTTTAATAAGGAATTTCTGGGAGATGTAAAATTTTAGAGATGGAAAATAGTAACATTTCAGTGGTTTCTTTACATATAGGTGAGTGGGAAGAGCAAGTACAATCAGACATAAGGGAACACTTTGAGATAGTGTGTTTTGGTTACATAATGGTTACATAATGATAGAAATGTATTAAAATTAAACAAACTAAAGGACAAATACATAATGCAAGAAAATATTTACATTGTTTAAAGTAAAAAAAAAAAAAAACCCACAAGTGCTTGTAATTAATGAGGAGCCCTGAAAAATCCTTAAGGAAAAGGTAAACCAAATGAAAATTAGGCAAAGCATCAAAACATACAATTTGTATAGTTAAAAAGAGAACCTATAAATAAGTGTGAGGTGCTCAATTCACTTATAACTAAAAAAAAAGCAAATTAAAACAAACATGACATGGGCCTCCCCGGTGGCGCAGTGGTTGAGCGCTGGGTTGCGAAGCTGCCCGCAGCCTCTGCAGCACCGGTTCGATCCCCGGCTGCTCCCCGGCCACCAGAGGAGGGTCCCACATGCGCGCAGACCTCTTCCTGCCACCCGCTGCTCCCCTCAGCAGTGTACTTCCGTCCTTCTGCCTGCTCTGCTCCCTGCTCTGGCTCTGGTGAATTCTCTCACCCTCCCACGCTTCTGACTGTATCCAGTGCTTGTATAAATAAATAAATAAATAAATCTTAAAAAAAAAAAAAAAAAACATGACATGGCATGTTTCACCTTGGATTAGGAAAGTTTTTTAAATTAAGCTTTTTATTTGAAGGTAATTGTAGATTCATATGCAGTTGTAAGAAGTAATGCAGGCAATTCCATGTAAACTTTACCCAGGTTTCTCCAATAGTAACATATTGCAAATCACCAGTACAACAACAGAACCAGGCAATTAACACTGATACGCAAAAGATACAAGATATTCCCCATCACCACTGGATACTCCACTTTGCCCTTTTGTAGAGGCACCTGCTTCCCTTCTTCTCTATCCCTTGCTTATCTCTTGGCAACCATTAATTTGTTCCTCATTTCTATAATTTAGTCATTTCAAGAATGTTACATCAATGCAATCACACATTCTGCAACCTTTGGGGATTCATGTCACTTAGCACAATTCTCATCCAAGTTGGTGCATGGATTAACAGTTCATTCCTTTTTATTGCTGAGTAATATTTTATGGTTTGGATGTACCACAGTTTATTTAGCCATTTATCTGTTGAAAGATATTTGGGTAGTTAGCAGTTTGGGCTATTATGAGTAAAGTTAGTAATGCTTTAGTTCCTATTTGTTTCTTCTCCTTCTTTCTCATCCTTTTACTTTTTCTTTTTCCTCCTTCTTCATGGCTGAAGCTTTCTATTTCTTCATTAAGGCTTTCTATTTTGTTTGAAGTATGCTTGTAATTACTCACTGAAGCATTTTTATCATGATTGCTTAAAATATTTATTCAATAATCCTAATATCTCTGTCATCTCAGTGCTGGCATCTATTGATTAACTTTTCAAAAGATCTTGTTTTTTTTTAGAGCACTTTTAGGTTCACAGCAGAATTGAAAGGAAGGTGCAGTAATTTCCCATATACCTTATTTTCCCCCACATGCATAGCTTCCCCATTATTAATACCTACACCAGAGTGATACATTTGTTACAATTGATGAACCTGCACTGACTGACCCATCACTATCATCCAAAGTCAGTAGTTTACGTTAGAGTTAGCTCTTGGTGCTGTTCAGTGTGTGGTCGGAAAAATGTGTCCTGACAGTCACCATTACAGTGTCATACAGAATATTTTCACTGTCCTAAATGTCCGCTATGCCCTGCCTATTCATCTTTCCATCATCTTCCATACAAATTTAAGGTTTCTTCACATCTTGCCATGGTTTGATAGATTTTTTTTTTTTAGTGCTCAATAATATTCCATTCCCTAGATGTGCCAGTGTTTATTTACCCACTCACCTACTGAATAACATCTTGGTGTCTTCCATATTTTAAAAATTATAAATAAAATGGTTATAATCATACATGTGCAGATTTTTATGTCGACATTAAGTTTTAAGTGTTTTAGTTATATGTGAAGGTCTACCATTGCTGGATTATATACCCTTTTATTACCTTTGCTCCTTTATTGAAGTTCAACTGATTGTAGCTTTGTGGGTCTATTCTGGACTTTTTATTCTGTTCCATTGATCTTACTTGTCTTTCACCAATACCACACTGTCTGGATTACTATAGTGAGTTTTGAACTTGTGCAGTGTCAGTCCTTTAACTGTTCTTCTTCAATATTGTGTTGTCTATTCTGTGTCTTTTACACCACCTTATAAACTTTAAACTTAGTTTGTGGCTACGCCCAGAATAACTTGCTTAGGTTTTAATCAGGATTGCATTCAATCTATAGATCATGTTAGGAAGAGCTGACATCTTGATAATATTAATTCCTCCTAACTATGAACATGGAATCTCTCTTCATTTATTTAAGTCTTTGATTTCATTAATCAGTTTTGTAGTTTTCCCCACATAGATCTTGTGTATATTTTGTTAGATCTGTATATAATATTTTATTATTGGATTACTGTAAATGGTATTGTTTTTCAACTTTAAATATTCTACATGTTCATTGATTATATCTAGGAGAGCAACTGAATTTTGTCTATTAATCTTATCTCCTCCAACCTTCCAATAACTGCTTATTAGTTGCAGGAGTTTTTGGTCACTTCTTTCAGATTTTCTGCATAGGTAGTCATGTCTATGGAAACAAATAATTTTACTTCTTCCTTATCAATCAGAACACTCTTTGTTTTCTTGCCTTATTGCATTAGGTAGGCTGTCCATATTAACTAGGTCTTACAATTTTTTTTAAGATGTTTATCTGATTTCAGAGACATATCTGTTTAATAGAAAATGTACAGTCTTAAATTGTAGTTAGCAGTCTGAATAAGGTATATTTACTTCATCTTCCTGAAAATAGGAGTCTTCTGCAAAAGTTCTAAAATTTAATAATACTGAATATTGTCAAGGATGTGAGGAAGAAGAAATTGGTACTGAATGTGTAAACTTTTTCAAATTTTGGTGAGAGCAATTTGATAGTAGTCATCTAAAAATTTTAACATTACCAGCCATTCTACTTGTAAGAAGCTGTTCTACACAAATGCTAACATGGGGACATAAAGACAATAGACACTAATTTTAGCATTGTTTGTATAGGGAAAAATAATTAGAAATAATTTCTAAATAAAGAGAAATTGTTAAAAATATTATGGTATCCATATAATAACATTATAGTAGCCACGACTTTTTAGTATATAAAACAGCATGTTCTCATTTTTTTATACACAAATTATGGAATGGGCGTTTCTTGCTGCTTAGAACTGACAACTCAGATTATAAACTGTGGACAAAAGACCCTTAAGTATCTTATGCTACAGTGACATTTTCCAAGGAAGTGCAAACATTTTGTGGGCTGACATCTCTATTAGGGTTTATCAACAACTGGACAGATTAGCTGTACTACCTCCAATCACTATTGCTGTGAATCTCCCCTTTCTCCAATATCCCTTTTGCAAACCTATAAACAGAGGATCTAGAGATAGTAGTAAGGCAGGGAAAGAGTCTTTAGAGGTTGTGTGTTTATGTAAGTGCTGTATTTTACTCCATTGACTTCCCATGAAAAAATGAAGTTGAATTTTTGCCCCCTCCACAAGTCAGGTGATGAAGGAAGGCTAGGACAACTGCTCACAGATGTGGTGGGTATCTAAAGAAAGAAGAGAAGACTGGCATCTCATTCCCAATGGAATTTTTGGGGTTGATTATATACAGTTATTTTAAGAATCTGCCCATGTGCCTATATAAACAGGGAAAAACAGAACTGAAGACAGATGTCAGAGAGATGAGAGCTGACTACAGGGTGAAGAGATACCAATGGCAAGAAAGCAGGGGCTGAAGGGCCTCCCTGGTGGTGCAAGAGGTTAAGCACAGCACTGTGAAGCTATCTGCAGCCTCTGCATCATGAGTTCAATCCCCGGACCAACCAGAGAGAGCAACCCACATGTAGCAGCAGACCTTTCCTGACTTGCCCGCTGCTCCCCTCAGTAGTGTATTTCAGTCAGTCTGCCTGTTCTGTTCCCCTCTGTCTCTGGTGAATCCTCTCAACCCCGCACCTGTGGCCTGTACCCCAGTTCTTGTATGCATAAATAAATAAATCTTAAAAAAAAAGAAAGCAAGGGTTGAAAGAATTGGGAAAGCTAAA